CACACACACACACACACACACACACACACACCTTCTCTCTCCTACAGAAGCAATGAGATGAGACAAGCTGCAGGAAACTTACAGTATACCTGAGCCTCCTTATTAGCCTCTCCCTGCCTTGCTGCACCATCCCATCCGCCCTGAGACCTGGTTCACCCTTGTGAACCCCTTGCTCACCCCTCTGATGTCCCAGTAACCCAAGGTCATGGCCATGGTGATGGTCTTCTTGCTCTGAGAGGACCCACACAGAGCAGAACCAGGACTTTATCCTCTGGCAGGGCTGTGTGCGGTTATACCCCACAGCATCGGCCCCGCCCAAAGCTCCACCCCGACTCCTGCCCCTGAGAGGAGGAAAACAACCCCGGATTGGAAGAAACATGATCCCCTCAGGCCTCCCAGCTCAGGAAACTGAGCACACATCCACTAATCCAAGTACTAATGCCAACTGGCTGGGCTGGCTGTTTCCTCTGCTGGCTGTGGCTCCCCCAGACCCAGAAATCTTTAGATCAGAGGGAGTTAATTTGCTGGGGAGACAGGCTTGAGTCATAAAAAGCAAAACTTTCTTGACACAAGCTATGCAACCTCTATCGACTGACATATTCCGGATGGAGACGGAAATGCTCTGATAAATCAGACTTTCCACGCTAACTTACGTTGTGACCTCCCTTTTTTGTATAATCACAATATCAAAATATTCTGATCAACCTTCAGTTTACAACTGGATTGCCTCAGCCTCAGAAGGCCTGCCTGGCCCTGACAAGCAAGCCCTGCACCAGGGTGACAAATTCCTCTTGAAGTCAAAAGTGATTTTACAACTGGCTGATTAATAAAAGTAATTGGCTGTTACTGCAAAGTCAATATTGAGGCAGTACTGGAACATATTCTTTTACTGCTGGGATGGACAAGAACCCAAATCTCATCACTCTACTATCTCACAAAACCTTCTACTCAGTTTCTAAAGAACTACTTAAACTTTCCACTATTTAGTCTTTAGAAATGGAAATTCATCCAAGTCCCCTATTCAGAGCTAATCAGGTTTTCTACTGTCTAGACTTCAAAGGAATTCACTTAAGCTTTTTAACTAGTTTTTCAGGATTCTACTATCTAGTCTTTAGATAAGGAAATTCACCCAAATCTCCTTCCTGTTCAGAGCTAATTAAGTTTTCTACTGTCTAGACTTCAAGGAAATTCACATATACTTTCTAACTAGTTTTCAAAAACTTTACTGTAATTTGATTTTTTACTCCCGGGGATATCTCAATGAGAATGAAAACCATTAAGTAGTACATAAGGTTTAAGAGACTTTATTTTGGTTAATCTTCACTGTGGCAAATATAGTAAAATTAGTCGTAAACTTTGTGAGTCTATGTACCTGTTTTTAACCTTAATAGATTGATTTTTTTTTAAAGATTTATTTATTTATTCATATAGAACTGGGGTACAGGCCAGAGGCTCAGGGGCGGTGGAGGCTGCACCAGAGACAGAGCGGGGAGCAGAACAGGCAGATCGAGGAAGTACACTGCTGAGGGGAGCAGCGGGCGGGTCAGGAGAGGTCTGCCACGCCATGTGGTCACCTCCGGGGCAGGCGGGAATCAAACTCATGCGGAAGCGGCTTTAGATTCTATGTTGTGCTTTAACCCGCTGCGCCACCAGGGAGGGCCTTGATAGACTGATTTTAACAATGTTATAATCTCAACTAAAGGTCAATACAACCCCAGGCTATTCTTAGAAAAAAGGTGATTGAGATATCATCCCATTTCATATGTTAATGTCATCCCACTGCTTGCTTAAAATGTATAAAATAAACCTGCTGAAGGCAGAGCAAGAAGACTTGCACCTAACTCTGACTCCTGTGTCTTCTCCCCTCCCGCTCCCCAATTTTGGGAATATCTGCTCGCCTATGTCATCCCCACCTTAGGATCCTGCCTGTATCTGCCTTTCAACAGCTGGAGATTGGAGATCCGGGCGGGCGGGTCCCTGACACTTTCTCACCTTCTTTTCCTCTAGACCGTGCTCGGTCACCCCCAGGGCTGCAAAGACTCGGGGAGCTCCGCCTGCCAAGTGAGACATAAGGAATAGTAAGTACCCTCCTTTCTTAATTTCTCCCAGCTCTCTCTCTTGCTACCAGACCCACATTAATAACAATTATGGAAACACAGTAAGGGAACCCTGGGCTATCCTTCCTCAGAGCCCAGGGAATTACCATCACTACAGCGGACGGACCACGGTGGAGACCTGAGGTGAGAAGTTTGGGAATGGTGTGAAGCGGGCAAAGACCAGACTGGAGTGTGAATGTGCAGCGTGAGAGGTAACCAGGGACCCCAAAAGTTGCGTGCTCTAAAAGTCTCGCCATCCATGCAAAAAAAGACAACCATATCTTTAATATGGTTTAATAGGATAGGTTTAATAAAGATATTAATATCTTTAATAGGATTAGTGCGTGAATAGAGAGAAGAATTAAGATGATTCCAAGCACAACGTCCCAAGTTACCCATGCTGTTGTGGGTAAATGTCAAGCCAACAGAGTTGGCCCAAAGTGGGGTCACTGAGCCTGAAAGTTGTGTCCCAACTCTAAAGTACCTCTGGGGGGGACTACAGAGGCAGCAGAAGGGGCAGGTTAGTCTGGGACTGAAGGAGCAAAAGCAAACTACAAAGCAGGAAAGCAGCTGCCACCATCAGCCTCCCCGCGTGTCCCTCACCCCGCGTCCCTCTTCCAAGAGTCACCACTTTGGGTCCAAGTCCCTGGTGCAGTTCCAAGCGCAAGAAGCAAGAAGGCCCTCTTCTGCAGTCCCCTGCGCCCACCTGCCAGCCCCAGGCTGTAGCCTCACCTGGCAGTCAGCTCCCACCCTTGTTCCAGGTAGCAAGTCCACAGCTGCTTCATGTAAGTGGGGGCAGGGAAGGCCCAGGAAGAGGCCTCCCTTCCACAGAGAGCCCTGCCCGAGGGGGCTCAGCTGCCTGCTACCAGCCGCAGCCTGTGCCCCAGCTAAGCCAGGCTCCCCAGTCGGGCCTGGGAAGCTGGAGAGCCCGGGAGGCAGGGAGGGAACAGACAAGACAGAGCAGGTGCCATTAAGCCTTTACTGGGGACCAGGCGGGGCTGGGCCCTCGCTGGGGGAGC